AGCTACTAACCTTCCTAATTAGGTAAGTATTGAGAGAGATAATAAAGAAAAACGATCCCGAGGTGGAGACCCGATTTACTAGCCTAGGTTTAGCTAGCCTAAGGTAGCGGAAAAGGTAATGGAAAAGGGTATATCTTGACAACAGCCTTGTTATCGGCTTTCTCGCTATTCTTAGCGTTTATGTTAAAAGCGGCGGCTTCTAGGACCTAATTTTATATATACCTAATATTTTAGCATTTATTAAGCTGGCCTAAATTTAAGTATTATAAAAGGGGATACGTCCTGTTAATAGTAAACTAATTAACTTCCTAGCTAATATAATTAATAAGATTAAAGAACGGTTTATAGTATATAGAAGCTAATCTCTAATAAATTAGATACTTAAGATCTATTCGTATAGCTGCAAAGTCTAGGATAGAACGACTACCTTAGGATATATTATATAGACAGACAACGGCGAATATCTATCTTATAAGAACTTTGAGCTGTCTATAACTACACTTCGTTAGTTTATACGTAACTAGGTCGAGCTAGCCTAGAAGTAACTCCATGATTTCTTACTACTACTACCTAATAGAGACGTAGAAAGTAGAGTAGACGCTGTTCTACTAGTGCGCTTACAAGAGCTAAAATATAACCTAACTATTAACATCTTAGTTTGGAGTTCTCTTCTAGACAAGCGTAACGAGGATTAGCTAGCTAGTTATAATTGCTAGCTATTCCGCCGTATTAGAGATTATATTTAGCTTAGAAAATAGTTCTTAGATAGCTAGCATTTTACTAAGTAGAAAGAGAAATGAGTAAAGAGCTATCCTAATGCTATATAAACCTTCCTACAACGGCTTCTACTCCTTATTCATATAATAGGCGGACAGCCTGCTAGAAGGACATAATTTCTTACACTATAGTGGTGAAACTCGCAACACGGAATTCAGCGAAGTAAAAATCTTAATAATATCCTAATAACATTTATAACTTCCTACTATAAAGGCTATAGAGTTAATAATACTTAAGGTTCAACTCTAATGTAATTCTAGGCTTATATAGCATACACTAATTCTCTGGTATTTTTTATGATTTACTTATTTTATACATCGAGCACCTGCGTAGAAAGAGGTACATAACGCTTCACGACAGCATTATAAGCTACTAAAATGAGTAGCGTTATTGCCGGTGGATCGTTTAACATAGTCATATTATGATATTTATATAATGGTTGTGAAGTTGGTGGGGTCTTAGCGCAGTGAGCGGTTCGCTATACTAAGCGGCTCGCTGTCCAGATATGTTATGCTATTGATTTGACTAGATACAGAGTATATACTAGCTTATTGATGTATTTTCTGTCCAAAGTCTTAGGTTTCCTAGACGAGTTTGTCTTCGTCCGTTGTAGGAAGCTTGGCATCAACATTTAACCCATCCGGGTAACCACCGCGTTTGACAGCAGGACCGCCAACTCGGCGGACCAGTTTATCCTCGTCAGTCGTTGGCAGCTTGGCATCAACATTAAGTCCGTCTGGATAACCGCCACGCTTGACAGCAGGGCCTTCGACTTCATCAACTACACGTTTTGCGTTAGTCTTTGAAAGTTTAGTCCAGATACAATGGGTTGCAAACGAACTGTAGTTTCTTCCCTCACCAGGAGCGGCGAGTGCGCCACTGGCAAGGAGCGCAATGAGATAGAAGTAGGTCTGCATAATGACAATATGTTGCTGCAATGTAAAATTCGAAGTGTAAGTGCGGGATTGATAGAAATTTGAAGTTTGCTGGTACTCCGATGACGAACTACATTGAGATTACCGCCGATTTAAATACTTCGCTATTGTCATGCTAAATTGTGACAGTACGTAATTCACAGTTGCATTTACGATCACATGATATGTAGTATGTAGCAGCGGCATGACCTGCGACCTTATGTGGGGCAAGCAAAGCAATACCCTGGATGGTATGTAAGCACAGACATTCTAATAAGTACCAATATACAACAGGGAGTATACGAATCGCCGACCGGACGGAATGCATGTAGACGATTAAGTTTAACTGCATGTGCAGTATGCATGTGCCGTGATTGTAAGCACCGATCATGCAAGAGAGACATAGATTTCTATTGACTAATGCAATCTGCAAGACAAGCTTCCTGGCTCTTGCACTAGCTATGCATTCAATCACGTACCACACAAGGTAGATGCAGATTTCTACTAGATTATGCGACATGAAGGACACGACACCCAGCACTTCTCCGAACTCAAAGCTCCCGAAAGCGACCGAATGACGTCACCACCTTCACAGAATTAATTGTCAATCGATGTATGCGACAGACCCTTGCGTGCGGAGAAATGTGTCCGCAACTAATATACCTCAGGTCAGCCAAACCATAATACCCTTTCCTCTGCACTTCTCCGTTGCAACTGATGTCTTATCCGTTGGTAACTGATTCGAACAATGTCTGAACCAAAATATTCATATTCACCTGTCGATTCAGAGACGGCCTTTCTTGAATCTGAGAGTAACGATGGAGAGAGTGAGGTACGACCGCGTTTGAGGTACTTGGGCGATTTCCCTCGCAGCCGTGACTTCGCCAAAAGGCTTTTATGGTCCACCATGCCCTACATCAGTGTCATGTTTGTGGGTGTGTTTGCAGGACTTCAGCTGGGGAAAATGGGGATGGAAAAAGAAAGGCTTTGGGGAGCTGAAAACCCTGACTTCCGTGAGTCAACCTTGACGCAGTTGGATAATCTACTAACGATATCATAGTACCTGCACAGGTCAGAGATGAACTTTTGTTCAGCGGCAAGGTTGCACCTATTCCGACTTACAGCTGGACGCCATTCGTGCGCGATGAAGACCGGAATCTCAGTCAACATCCATGGTATCAACCTCATGGTGACCAACAGGAGGAATTCTTCATGACCAAGATCGGGCAAGGCCAAGGTTTCCTAATCACAAAAGAGGATGTTGAGAAATTGGGTAAAGATCCGTCGAAACTCGTCCGGATCCCCGATGATTGGGGATACGGCGACAAGGTTTACCCGGCCTCGTTTGATATTTCCCACCAGCTTCACTGCATACATTCCTTGCAAAGGGCCATTCACCAGAAGCCCCATAATGCAACACACTTACTGGACGTCATCGATACCCAGCACACTGATCACTGCCTCTGGTCTATGTATGACTACATGAGATGCCACGGCAGTTTAGACGTCATGAACCTCAAGTGGGTCGAGGGTGTTCCGAAGCCCGTACAAGATTTGACTCTTCAACGTCAATGTATAGACGTACAGGCAATTCTTGATTTTCAGGAAAACCATGATTTTGGCCATGATGCGCGAATCCGCTATATGGTAGCGACCGAAGATGACTACATACACCCAGTATCGCCTATGCGGAAGAAGGTCAGAGATGCCAATCTGGCGAGGCAGCGTAAGCTGCTCAAGGGCAAGGACTGGCTCACTGAAAGGAAGAAGCGCTTCGACCGAGCCATGGAGGAGTGGAGAGAGACGGGAAGTATCCCCCAAACAGACGCCAACGTAATCTGGACCGGACCCGGAAGCTTACATTATTGGCATGATGATGAGGAGTAGTGGACTAGCCTAAGAGTAGCATTACTATATGACGGGTCGATTTTGAAATACATATGGTAGCCCCCTGAGATTTGCAGGATATACATTGAAAAGGATGCTCATAAGACTGGTCTTGCTCGATGTATTCGCCAAGGCTGCGATTGATTCATATTTTACTGTCGTCCTATGAAATTGCGCCAATGTTCGGAATGAAACATTGAGATTCGAGTTATCCATAACATGATGACTCAGATGTTGTATTTACACATGTGATATCTCGAGAAGTAATGTCATATCTCCAGTAGCCGGGCCCATTCAAGAAGTAGTCTCAAGAGATAAAGCTCCATATCTTCGCGTCTGAGGACCTTCAAACTCCAGGAGCGCGCTGATTGCGCTATTGCCGCTGCTTTGTCTTCGTGTGCCAAGAAGTATTCCATCACGGTCCAAATATCCCTCCCAAAGCCATTGGACAGAGGTACAAAATGAAGCCAAGGAATGATGCGAGAGTCATGCCATTCCTCGTAGATGGTAGCTTTGAGTACTACAGACTCTGAAAGTAAAAGACCATGAAATCGCCCGCTGAAGCTATTTCCGTCGATATCGAAAACGTATCGAAAAGATGTTAACATGTCGTGCAGTGACATCCATGGTACGGACCGGAAATGAGCATCGGTGTATGAACAAGGAAGATTAGCTCCGCGATAGGCATCGTCATGGCAGGTGAGAACACTGAAACCAGTGTCAAAGTAGTTCTTTGCCATTTGGATATGTCTCTGCTCCATTGATGGAAGGTTTAAGAAGCCCGCCCAGTCTTGTGTCTCGTTGCCCGCTACGGACTGCAAGTAGGTGCTGTTAGTCAAAGCAACGAAGCGATGACGATGAAATTCGTGCCAGTTCCCAGCATCATGTCCTCCTCCGGAATTTGTACCCCTCCAGACAGCCTTGTTTTGTTTGGAAGCCCATGTGGCAGCAGCCTCTGTACCAGCGTGATAATCTTGGTCTTGTGTCCAATAGATAGCGTCAGGATACCGAATGCCGCGCTCAATGCCAGCAGTACGAGCTGGTGAGAATACTGGAAGGATAGTCTGCCCAACGATTTTGTTCAACGGTCGAACTAACGCTCCATGCATCTTTGCGAGCCATGGTTGCTCACACACGTTACGCCACGAATCGGGATCCGTAATCACGCCTTGATTGGTCCACTCAGAATTCGACCATATTCCAGAATTTGGTGGACATGCTTTTGGCCAGAAAGCACGCCAGTCGTCCACGACATAGAGATGTTCATTCCCAGGCTCAAGCCTTCTGAGGCCATTGTCTGACCTATTGTTTGCGAAGCCGTGAGGGATCACAATACGGGGTGATGCGTTGCCGTTGACTGGAATGGTCATATCTGGTAAATAGGGTGCAAGTTTGGCAAACATGTCTCGGATATCGAAGCATGGCCAATTGATGTCTTGGCAGTTACACGTCACGCTCCCATTTTTGATAACCAGCGCTCTCAAAATAGGAGACTTTGTTCTAGCAACTGCTTCTGCAGTGGCACGGATCGTTGTAGCGGGAATACCATCGAAGTCGCGCAGGTCATTATAGATTGGATCGAAGAAGTCTTCAATGATCACCGCACTTGACGTTTTGGCAAGCTCGAACCACTGGTCAAATCCTTTCGGAGGGTTTTTGTTGCGACGTATTTTGTATGCTGCTATGGCTTCCTCAAAGCTATCAGTCGCTTGCAGCAAGATATTGTCGAGTTTTGCCTCTGCCTGGCGAATGAGTGTGTCGATCGGATGGTCGGATGTTGCGCGCTCCGGGCTGCATATTCCAGACCAATGTATACACAAGCTGATGGCTACTGCGACAATAGCGATTACTGATCGCAACCAGGAGGTTTTGTGAATAGCCAGGTTTGTCATATTCGGATTGTTCGCGCTTAGCAACCAGTTGCGAAGGCGAGTGCTTGAGGTTCTGATAGCACCAAATGAGTGTTCACGATGAAGGTCGTGTGATCAATTGTGAATAGTCATTATCCGAGAGTAATAGCGCATGTCAGCGACATAGGGCCTATTCTGCGAACTTTACGCACCACAGCTATTACTTCATAGTAGAAGTCAATAATATTGGGAAACGAAGAGTTGCAATATAAGCACGGTGCTGCCTCGGCGAATGCCGTGTTGAGTGATTAGCTGCAACTAGAACCGGTTGCATTGTTGGAAAGAGGTAGTTGATTGTAGATCGCCAGGACATACGCTGCTACTCAACAAGTTACGCAATGACTATGGCCCATTCAAGCTTGTGATTGCAGTGCTAACTGGCCACCGCCATAATGGGGAATAGGCTTTCACAAGCTTTGACTTTCAGGAATGGTGGAGCTCGCGAACTGTATTTTGTTGAGGTCAATCATACTGTGCTACATGGTAGAATTCATGTATGTGGGCCACTAATAAAGGAACAATAAAGGCCAGGGTGAAAAGTAAGCGCTACACTATAAAGAGCCCGATCTTCACCTTCTAAGTCGCGATTATGAAGAATTTCCCTGTAATTAGTCTGCTATGATCATTCGAAGAAGAGCATGATCTTCATTTTAGCGCGTCTCCACACACACATCACTTGTACCATGTAGGACAGTACTACAAGTCGCTCATCACATTACTGTGCTACATGGCACAAGTTATGTGTGTGGGGGCGCGCTCAAATGAAGAT